CCCTGTAACTCCAGCCATAGCTTTTGGATACCTACCACTGAACTTTATGAACTGTTCAGGAAAGCGTTTAGTATACGACAAACTGAGTTTTGGGCTCAAAAGTGTAATATTACAAACTGATGGACAGAATCAAGATTGTTTCAGCTGGCTTAAATAAAACTACTGAGGGGAGAGAGTGGTATTAAAGCATTGTGTTGGCTGTTGTGGTTTTTGCTTTCTTTCTGGATCAATGCATCAGTCTGTAGACATTAAATATGCTTTTGTTCCCCTTAAAGTACAGAAAGAATTTCTGAGAAAAGAAGTCTTTCTGAAGACTAAACTGAAAACAAAAAAAACCCATTGTGGCTTTGACATTTATTGGAGGAGGCTGCTGTTTCACAGGTCTAAAGGGGTTGGAAAAAACCTGTCTTTCACAGCTTATGTCATAGTTCATATTCATTGAAAGTAGTGTAATGACTGTTAATTTGTCAACTCTCATTTGACAAGGGAGCTCAGACTGCAGAGTTAATTGAAATGCAAATAGGCAGGGGATGGCAGCATCCAATTGGGACAGTGGTTCTTCTGAAAAATTTTAATACTACTTATAGCCAAAGGAAACACGGAGAGAATTCTAAGAGATGGTGGCAAGCAGAGCTAACACAGAGGCGCTTGCAGAAAGTTACTGCTTAGAACCACTGTCAGTAATTCACTCTGCATCAAGATAGTTCTGCTGCAGAAATTTAACACGTTTCTTTCTTTCCTAGAGATCTGCATAGAAATGGCTTGGATTTAATTTGCTTGGTCTGAAAAAAGATGATGTCTTTCTTCCTACCCCTGCAAATCTCCCTCTGGCTGCATTAGGAAACCTGAAAGTGTTAAAGTCACTGTGTGGTGTTGTTACTGCTCAACATGGATAATTCTGGTTCTGAAACATGGGCAGCTTCCAGTGTTCATTATTTCCCTTCTTTTTAATCATACTGTACATGTGTAGACACATATTTCTAAAGCCATTTCTTTCTGCTCTACTTCTTTATGACTGTTCTGTCTTTTTATGGTACTGCAGATGTTCAGTTACTTGGTTTTGTGGGATTCTTGTGATGTCATGTGTCCTGCTACTTCCAAAAGTGGATTATTTGAAGGTTGCCTCTCCCATTCACATTTAACAGATAAGAAATACCTGTCCATAGAATGAATTGAGACCAGAAAAATATATCTTTTTCTTAGGAAAAATTTAGCAAATATTGGTGTACAGGTGAAGTGTTCCTTTTCTACTAGGTACCTTTGCCAGCAATTTTTTTACGAGAAATAACTAAAAAATAAAGACAACTCCATCTACGTCAGGTTTGGGAACACATCCCAGTCCTGTGATCCTGCTGGTAGAGCCCTGTAGAAACACCCAAATTCCCTTGTGCAGAGCTTTCTGCAAGTGTTTGCCTCATCTTTCTTCCATGCACTTGTCTACATAGAAAGATGTCCTGGTATGACTGTATTGGAGGCATGGGCTGCTATGTCTCCCCAAACCAGTGCTGCTGTGGGATATAATTGGGTTTAACCTGAAATAATCAAACACAAAACAAAAACACCACCTCCCCCCATTTTTCTGAGATAAAGTGACTCTTTTGGGAGTTGGGATGAAATAGCTACAGTAGAAGCCTTATTCCAAGTGTAGAGATACTACTGTTCGTGCACTAGCACAGCTGGAATAGTCTCCCAGGTCCCTGTTTCATCCTGACTCCACTGAATTCCGTGGCATCTTTTAATAGGTCTCCTGCTGTTAGGTAAGATGCTTTTCCAAATTAAAAGGCAACTGCATTGCTATCTCTCTACCTGGCTTAGCTAAACTTCCTAATAATATTACTTCTTCTTAAATAGGTGTGGTTGTAAGAAGAGCAGGCTTAAAACAGCCTTGAAACCCACTTCATAGCCCATAGTCCAACACTTGTTTATCTGTAAATGACAACTGTAGCACTGTGTGAAAGCATTGTTAAATACTCATTTCTATCATCTAGCACGCTGCCATGCAATAAAGTGCAAAGAAATTCTACTGCAAAGTTTTGTATTCACTGCAATATGGCACTTTCAATATTTAATATGCAATACTGATTTTATAAATTGCACTTTGTGGTACTGCCAAGCAAGAAGAAAAGGAAGAACTGAACTCTTCTTGCTATGTGAGAGATGCTAAATTTGTGTAATTTGCAGGAAAAAAATAACCTTAAAACCTAGATGCATAAATAATAATGTGGATGCAAGTTTGCCTCAAATTTTCTTAGAAGAATGCATTTGCTATCCAGGCACCATATTTGTGGTGACATAACATAATTTTATATATATATTTACATAACAGGCATGAGTAGCCATTCTCTATTATTTACCGTGTCACTCAATGGACAAGAAATAACCAGCTTTGAATTAAAAGGAAAGAAATCAAACCAATCCAAAACTCGTGCTTGGACTGCTACTAACAATCACTAAATCAGACAAAAGCACTGTACAAACATAGGAAAGTAGTTACAAGTTATCCTTCTGTCTTGTTATCTCATCCCTAGAAGTGACTAATGCAGGCTGACCCGCAGAGTGGCCCAGCTCCTTCAGGGCACAGGGTCTGTCTTCAGTAAAGCGCCAGTGATTCCCTCTTCCCAGTGAGCTGGGGGTGGCTCACAGGGCCGAATACCTGTGCCATCCCCTCCACACACAATCTGTTTCCTCGGGGCTGAAGGAGAGCAAAGGACAGTTCACTGGCTCACTTTGGGCATCCAGTGAGCTCCATCTGAGCTTGAGGTTATTTGCTGGAGGCAACCTCACAGTGAAGGGTGATAAAGGTGCAAGTTTAGGAGCCCCTGGAGGGATAGGCTGGCCCCCCTGATTGTATGAGGGGAGCAGCCAGAAGTGAGGGACTTGTGGCAGGTGCTGCTGAGCATCTGCTGCTCCTCCGCATATCTGAAATCCAGATGGTCTCTCCTGTCTGTCAGAGCCAACTTTTGGACAGATTGCTTCCTAGAAGCTCTGATTTCATGGAAGCCATGAAAGGTTAGGCTTTCAAAGGCTTTTATCATCTTAAATTACTTAGGGGCCCTCAGGAGGACATAATAAGGGTCTAGCTGTGCCATTACCATCATGAGGGGTGCAATGGGCTCAGGCCCTCTAAGCAAGGGAGTTGGGAACTGATGGACTTAAAACATTGTGAGAGGCCTGCCTCAGGGAGGCTGGGGGCTCAGGACCCTTGGAAAATCTGGGCTCTTTGGCTCTGTAAACCCATCCAATCTATCATGTTGGGCATCTGCAAGCCATTAGCTAGTCTGCCCTACACCCATAGGTGTGCAGTTCTCCCCACTGCAAAGGAGTCCCTTCTTGCCCCACCCAGGCATTGCAGCATGGCCAGCTCATTCTCTTCCATGTGAGCCGGCTTGCAAAACCTGAAGTTACATTGTTGTGGTTGTAAAAGTCTAATACTTGGGACTCTTACTGCTCTCTTTAACTCACTAGGAGTAATGAATACCAGAGATTAATTTTTAATCCCTCTTTATTTTCTGTTTATTAACTTTTTTTCTCATTTCTCTTTATTTTTGGAGTAAATTGGAGCTGTGTAGTTTTCAGACTGATTCACTTAAGGTCTGGCAGAGGGGGAATAGATCCATTCCTGTAATTCTGGTATTAAATACTGTTTCAAAATGAAATAAATGAGAATAGTTACCTATGAGGTATATTAAAAAAAAAATTAATTCCTTCTTTCCTTGACATTGAACCATGGGCTGGTTCCCTACTTTGGGACACAGGGTCGCTTTTAGCTTCTGGAAATTGGATATGCCCCATGGCAGCCCCTTAGGATTTTCTCCAGACAGTCTCTCCTAGATGGCTGAATTTGAAGAGCAAGGCCATTACATATTTGACAAATCAACTGAAATTCTGAGGGGTGAGCAAGCTATCATGAAAACAGTTCTGGCCCAAGATTATGGTGTCTCCCCCCACCATGGACAAAAATTACTTAGCTTGGCAAAGGAGATAAACATACACACAGAGACTTGTTCTAAGGTGGTAGATAAGGCCACACAAAAGAAGAAAAGAACGCTCCTGATGGATTCCTGGAAAACTCCAACAACTGGGGAGACATTCCCAGAAATTGATAAAAGGATTAAAATGAAGAAAGGAATGATATGGTATGGAGATAACATGGCCTTTTTTCGAGCACATCCTGCCTGCTGCGAACTCAGGAAGTGGACCTTTGGACTTATTTCATCTGTCTGTCACCCCAAAATTAGTTTACTGACTATAGCCATTCAAACTGCCTAAAGAAAAAAGGTATAAAAAGAGACTGGATGCAAGCAAAAATCATGGAGAAGTTCCATCAACTCTGCGAAGGTAACCTATGGGCTACCTCTTCTTCCTCCATCTTCTCGGGATGCCTTGGGGTGAGCGATTGCTTTATGCATATATATTAATTTTACTTTTGCTCCATAGTACTTTAAAATTTTTCCTTATTACTTTGTTGTAAGTTGCTTTTGCTTTATAGTGTGTACTTAAGTTTTTTGCTTTACTTAGTCTTTTTAAGTTCTTACTTATTTGTAAGTTGCTTTTGCTTTAGCGTCTGCGCCTATGCTTTGCATTATTATTATTATTACTACATAGTTTTAAGTGTGGTTTTTTGTAGTTAGACCCTATTCCAGACACAGAGAACTCCAAAAATTGTCACAAATTTGCATTAATAAACGTGTTATTTTATGAACTGTTAGAGTGAGTCCATTCTTAGATGCTGACAGTTTCCTCAACAGTGAAATAACTCATAGGAGAAATGTGCTGAAGGGATTTTCTATTGCTATTAAGTGCAGTCCCTATATATAAAAGGTATCAAATGTCCTGTCTGTCTCAGCGAATCCGTTAGCAAAGGGTCTCATTAGGTGAGACACTACCAGACTGTTTTGGACACTAAATGGCTTTGATCTGCTGGAGGGGGGACACTGATAGATAAAAAATAAATTAATACAGGTTGGACAGAAGATTCTTTTTTTCTGCCCCTTTTAAGGTGACAGAAAATGGTACCAAGAAAGTGGGGTGTCATGAATATTCTTCTGCAAAAATGCAGATTTACCTCTTCCCAAGTGGAGAAAGAGTGCACTGAAATGTTTAAAAAAGCTAAAGGAAAAGTTGTGAAATGCATGGACCACCTTAAACTCTGCTTGTGAACTGCAAAGAGAAACAACTGCTAGAAAAACAAACAACCAAATTGGTTGTTGGAGCCAAACAGCCTCAAAAGTCAATAACTCATCCAGATATGGGAATCTGGAAAGGAGATCTTTGCTATGATAAAACCACAGAAAACTGTAATTCTAATGAAAATGAATGTAGTGTTTTGCACAATGATTCCTGCTCTCCAACAGAGGTGGCAAAAATGCAAGAAAATACAGAGAAACTGGAATTACAATTGGAACAAAAAGTGTGTTTTGTGGACAACAAAAAATCTAAAAATTTACCTCCTTCTAAACTGATTAGTGATGTTGAATATGTGGTTTTGAAATCAGAAAATCAAGTATTAAAGTTATTGGTAACCCATAAGAGGGGAAACAGGAGAACAACTGAAAACTTCAGTTTCTGAACTTGCTGCTATAAACAAGTTGTTTAGAACTGAAGTGAACAACCTTAAATTTTCACTCGCTACAGGAGACTTCGAACAAAACGAGCTGCAGGTAAAAGAGGTGCTATATGCTAAAAAAGAAAAAAAACCTGCCAGCGAAACTGCTTGCTGTTAAACACAATCAAACAAAGCTGTGGAATGTGCATACATTAAAGAAAAAAATACAAAGTGTTAGACTCACTAAAGTTAGTGTTTGCCAAGCTACTAAAATCCACCTAAATAAACAGTTGTTTGCTTCTAGCCTTGTGATTAAAAACTCTGCATCTGCAGGGTGAAACAGAATTTTCGTAGTTGATACGAACTCAGAAAACCAATTAATATTAACTCTTTATTACAGGCACTTGTGTGCCAACGCATTTCTAATAGCAGCTGCTGTGCTTAATATCGTGAACTTAACAACTAAAATACACCAAGCCTACTTAGGTATTCACGGGGTGGTAGCAACTCTCAAAGAAAAAATTTTATCACTCACTCAGGCTTTGTTAATTTTCCTGTCTGTCTGGGAAAAAAATGTAAAGACAAAATTGTGGATTACCTTTTGCTGCAAAAAACTGCATACTAATTTTTTGACTGCTATTAAACTATCAAAATCTGACCTTAAATCAAGAGAGACTGAAATCCAGTCAATGCTAAGGCAGTGGGATGCTGAGAAGCTGCATCCACTTTCCAGACAGCATCCAGCCATTGGAGTAAACTGAATGGAACAAGTGTTACCTACGAAATTGATAAAGCTAATTCATGGCTCCAGGGTGAGAAGCAGAAGCTTGCAAAAAAACCTAAAAGAAAGCCAGCTCAAACAGTGACTCCTGTCGAATCTTTACAAGCAGACTCACTCCCTTTGATCAAAGATGTGATTCACCCCCAAACTCAGAGACTAAACTGTCAAAACTAAGTGGCAAACACTTAGTGAAGCCAAAGTTGAATTTTTTTTTTTATCTTAAACACCTGTTTCTAACCAACCTCACTAGTTCAAGAGTGAACCGAGCATATTTCTTTTCTTTCCTTCTATTTCACAGGAATATGCATAAAAAGAAGAAAGCGTACTTCAGCAAAAACAATGTGATCTTATACTTCCTCTTGTTTTTCTTACCTAGCTGTTTTATTGCAAAGAATTAAACATCAGTGCTTGACTTTTAACCACTGCGTTAAACAACCTGACTCATTAAGTGATAACCTGTAAGAGAAACCCCTTTGGGACTTGTGTTTTTTTCTTTTGTTCTTTTCCTCTTTCTCTAGGAATGCAACACAAACACACACACTGACAACTGAGTGAAGAGACTGCCAGCGAATTTCTCTTAAATTCTTTTCACTTTTGTAATATACACAGAAACTAAGTCTACACTCGATGAATTATTCCTTTGGTTGTTTTTTTTTAATGATTAATTTATAGTAGGTCAAATTTTCACCTCATCTTTTTATAGGAACAAGCTACAAGTGAATCAGAACTGCCTGAGACCGATGAAACTTTTAATAATTACTTAGATTATTAGTTTATTAATTCTTGTAATTTGTTTGTGTTTTCATCAAGAACCATTTGTTGGAAGACCAACTATTAACCAAGTTATATAAAACAAACCATTTTATGTATTGTTAGTTTAAATTTTAATAAGTTTACTTTGTCTTTTCTTTTCCCTTTACTAAATATGAGAATAGGGTGGAAAAAACTTTTACCTTATGAATATATAACTTTATTTCAATTAAATAAAAAATTTAAAAATTCAACCAATTCAGCTTGGAAGTAAATACCAGGATTTACGCATGTCTGAAATTATATAAATATGTATTAACTTTTCAAGTCTTCGTCAGGAGACTCTGGATTTATTAAAATGATTTAACTAATTTTTTCTTCCTGTCTAAAAGGAAAGGCAACTATAGAATGCAAACAAGACCTGCAAATAAAATAAAATAATAATAAAAAAACCCTATAACCAATTTTTAAGAAATACTTATATTCTGTTAAGTACTTTTTACTTTACCTTACTTCTCTTATCTATGCTTAATCAAACATTGTTAAAAGAATGTGATAAGAGTAATTCACCCACTGAAGAAAAAAAAAGGGGAAAACCAATTTTACTTTAACACAACCTATGCTTTCATCTTGTTTATAACAGAAACAAGGTATAAAGTTATCATTTAATTTTATAAAATTTATGTGTGATGGGGTGATCATAAATAAAAAATGTGTACTTCTAAGTATACTTCTGCTTAAACTAGTTTTTGTAAACAGAAATGGACCATCACAAAGAAGAATGGAAATCAACACTTTCTATCGCTAAAAGGAATTAACAAAAACATCATCTCAATAGGATACTAAATTAAAAGTAATGCTCTAAATGCATGACAACAATGTTACGCCTTGTTGTAAACTATACTAAAAAAGAAAAAATAGATATGCCTACTTTTTTAAGCATGAATACTAACATAACTTTAAAATATACCTTTAAACAGACCCCAACTCTCAAGTGAGCTTGGGTCTTCAATTCTCAAATGAGTCAAGCTGTTGATACAAAATAGTATTTCCACAATTACACCATCTCTGACAACCTTATATGTAGAATGCAATTAATATCCTGAGAACAGGACTGAAAGTTCTAATAACTTGAGTTCTCAAATATTAATATATTAATAAACTGGTTACGATTACCACTGGCCTAAGTAAATCGAAACAACCATCTACAACTTTTCCCTTTTAACTTTGGGAACTAATCAATGGCCTTTAACAAATCTGTTATCACGAGAGGGAATTGGTAAAAAAAAAAAAGAAAAAAAAGATCATCAGTCAATCACAGATGCATTTAGCATCATCCAAACCAATGTCTCTTTGACTCTAAGACGCAGCCAGAAACACTGATGGATACAATCAATAACAACTACTATCATAAAAGAAAGGTGAAGGAAAAACACCTTACCTATTAAAATTTAAAACATGATTTGGAATAAAACAATTAATTTAAAAAAATATATATATTAAAAAAAATTAAATCCTGGTGGTATCTAGTCAATTTTACCTATGATCCCACCAGCAATACAATTACAGCTTTTCTGCTGACAGTACCTTAAAACTAAATTACCACAGAACTATGCTCTACCATCTAGAACATAGAATATGAATATGAAAATACAAAAATTCTTCTGCCCCTTTTAATGTGACACTTGTGATTAAAATTTTACCTTTTGGTGAAGTCTTTAACAAACTTGGCTGTGTAGTTTACTTTAAAAAATGAGTTATAGTTATAAACCCTACTTTTTCAGGCCACTGGAATGACAATTAATTCTCACTTCTCACAAGCCCTGTGCATTCAGGGCTTGAATCTGGAAGGAAAAAAAAAAAAAAAAGAAAACAACCCAAACCCTTGACAATTTACTTCCTCCAGTAGAATGCCAACGTTTTCCACTTTTAAAGCATTTTCCAAATGACTTACATAGTTCTTGCAACATCCTGATGAGGTAGGCATTACTTCCCCATTTTACAGATAGCATAACTGGGCAGAGAGTCAAGTCAGGAATCGGCCCTGGGCATCCAGGTAGAGAAGGTGAGGACAAAAAAAGCACTGTTTCCTCCTCTGCAATAGCTCTGTTTGCTCTAGTGGGTGGCAGTCACTTTGAGGCCACTCCTCCCCATCTGCACATGAGAACAGGTAGAAGTAGCTGGATATGAACATCCTGACTCCCACCTCCCCAGTGCAGTGGCCATCACTGAAATGATGTGCAGGTGGAGGCCGACTGAAGAAGTGCAAACAAAAGCACATTTATGATCTGTTCCTTTGTCCAAGTCATGACCTAATCTGTGGTTGGATTTGATGACTTTCCAGGTATCGCAAAGCAGGTCTGGGTTAGAATTGGGAAATCATCTAAGAATTAGATACTGGGGTTACTGACCACACACACGTGCACGCACACACATCTCTCCAGCAATGCTAGGTCAGAAGAATATATACAGAGAAGTCAATGAACTATATATATGTGTGTGTTAGTATGATTCAGTGCAATGGGGGCAATGGTATGTTCTAGAGAAACACTTAGGTTTAAATGACCATTAAGCCTTTCTACCACCTCCATGAGTAAAATGCGTGTTTGATGTTTTTTCTTGGCTTACTCTTACTTGTATAATAAACTTTCGTTCCATCACCACTACTTTTAACTATAATACATAGGGTAAACTAGGGTACCTCATTACAATGGGATGTGCAATACACAATCGACAGAGCAATTGTCTGAGCTGAGTAGTCTGAATACAAGTAAGAAGAGCAAGTGAGCTTAAACAGTAATATATCCCAATTTACAATATAAGCAGAACAAGTAAAAATATTGCTCCCCATCTGATCCTTTCTTTCCCCTCCACTACTGCTGTGCCTGTAAGACTAGCCTGGTAAACTGGGTGCACTAAAAAATAAGGATTTTGCCTCTTGGAAGCTCAAAAAATGATACTAGAGAAAGTTTTCTGATGGCTAAGCCACACAGACTGCTGTCATTAGACAATTCAAACGGGTAGAATAGAGAACCCCGTTCACACTGTGGAGAAATAGAAAGAAATAGCCACTTCACATATCCCAACGCTGTTTCTGAAAATGAGGACAGGAAATAAAAAGAAAGAAAGAAAAATAGGTAACATATTAAGAGTCTTTGTCACTGTCCATTGAACCATACATATCTGCCAGCTTTTTAAACCGAGGTCCCCAGTCACTGAGGTAATCGTAGTCCTGATCTCCGTCTGTAGTCACCGACTCCAAGGAACTGAGGGACTCAGCAACAGAACCATTACCTTCATATGCGTAGGTTGCTAATGAGTCATATGGGGGGGCTGTTGGATCTGTATCATTTTCCTTTAACCTTTGGTTAATGAAATCTCTGACATCCGTGTTATCCCGCGCTGTTGCAGTCCGCCGTGGTATAAAAAGTGTTTCGGGCACAATGTCTCTGCGCAATTTATTATCATCTATGGCTTCAGGATTTCTCAGTGTGCCAATATCAAATGCCTGGGTGTCTTCCTCTCCACCACCTTCATCGTTATAACTGACAATGTTGTCTCTGATGTCTTCTTTGGAAATAATCAAAGGCTCTTTTTTCCTCTGCCGTCTCAGTGCTGCAAACAGCACCACTGTAACTAGAAACAAAAATAACAGTGAAAGAAGGTTAATCCCCAACTCCATTAAAGCCCAGAAGAAATGTCGCACCTCAGCTCGAATTTGAAGTTTTAGAAAATGTTTTGCAAAACTGAAAATGTGCGTGCCAGGTTTTCAGGCTGTGCTTGCTCTGCCTGTGAGTTCCTTGGGAGATGAAACGGCATGGATGTGCACTAGAAGAAAGGCGATGTCAAGCTTGTAAGAAGCCAAGTGGAGTGTCATTTTGTCAGGAGGCCCTTTGTTACTCAGAGTCATAATAGTAATTTTGACGTCTTGAGAACAGAACTAGTTTCATGACAGTTGGGATGGAAGAAACACTTTCTTCAAAATAAGCAATGTCAGATGTTATTTACCTTGAACCTCTGGGACAATATGTGATTTCTACCATGGACAAGGCTGGAATCTACTGAGTTAGCAAAGCTGAATTACAAGATAAGTAAATCTATCCTCCTCTGGAAAAAAAAGTCTGCAATATGGAGTGGATTTTGAGCCATCATAAAGTCTGAGTTTTATTAACTTCCATGGAATGTTTTTACAATTTACATCACCTTAAAAAAGTACATGGCTTAAATCTTAGACTGATGATATATGATAAAGTTATTTTTTAATCTGCCAAAGGCAGATTTCTGAAACATATTTTATGTTCTTCATTTTAAAGTGTGCGTGTATGCATACATATATTTTTCATTTATTTGGAGGGAAGGAACTCTTTCAATGACCCTGGTCCAAATTTTAATATTTTTGCTCAATAACGATTCTCAGAACTGTTGGAGAAGTGGACACAGAGGATGGAAAGGAATATGGTAAACACTTTCCTACTAGGAGCTAATTTCAGATTTATCAGCTGGAGCATACATTAAGGCAAATGGCTGAACATTGACAAATGAACAGCAGCAAGGAGCAGGGATGTATTTCTACTATCAGTGTTGCTTTGGTAGTTTGAGGTCTGCATTGCACAGTATTTCACCTCTGCTGTGCAAACTCCAAGGGAAGACACATCTTGCTGTCTTCAAAGTTCTTTCACAGCAAAGGAAAGCAGAAATGCCTAAACTCATTAATATGAGATGATAACGTGGATCACAATTATCTTTCATGTCAGCTGTGTTTCTAAAATGTATGTGAGTCAAAGCACAGTAACTGTTAAAGACTTTTTTTTCAGTCCCTTCCTCATTTGTAACCTTTTACAGGATAGTGGCAAGGACTCAGGGTGTCCCCAAACCGAAACGAGCCCATTGAAACTTGTCATTCTTAGCTTCCTTCGACAGACAAAAGGTTGGTTTGTTGGGTTTTTCTGTGGGGGATTGGGGAGAGGTGGTGTTTGTTTCATTGGTTTGGGGGGATTTTTGTGGGGGTTTTTGTTTGTTTGTTTGTTTTTATAATATGAGCTCCCCTGTAGGATTGCTTAGAGCAAGAATACTATCTGTAGGTGTGCCCAAGCATGTAGTAGAAGATGTGTTTTTTCTCTCCATTGACTATGGAAGGATACCAACAAGACAGGATTAAGTAGGAAAATGCTGTGCCTTATCATGGGAATACTGGGAATAAGGAAGGACATCTGTCAGTACAAGCTGAAATAAGTGAAGTGGTGAAACTGAAGGAGAGATGGTTCAGATGGCGGCAATTCAGGCTTTCAGCCTAATGATGAGAATTCACTTGTGTTGTCACAGAAGGGTCCTAATCTGAGTGATGCCTCTTTGTGCTGCTGTGCAAAAATGCAGTAAGAGATAATTCTCTTCCTCGAGAGCATAAAGCTGTGACACTCCGTGGGAGGACTGGGGAAAGGTTTATGTGACAGAACAGAGATAGCTAGATAAAATTTCGGAGAACTTGAAAAAAAAGTGTCAATTTTGAATGGGCTTCTGGAATAGTGACTGGTAAAATGGTCTGAGAAAGCGCAGGAATGACAGATTTTACATCGAAGGGTTGCTGAAGTAGCTTATTACAAAAAAGGTGTTACACAGAACATGCAAGGATGAGACTTTGACAGTTATGTCACACATCTGATATGTGGTTTTTACTATTTTGTGCTGAACTTGCAGGTAAAAAAGTCCATGAGAAGTTACATGATAAAGTACATCACCTTTATTTGCATGTCAGTGTTTAGCAGTATCTGAGGCTTCTTGATAAGCTGCTAGACTTACTCAAACTCCAAATAAACCTAGCAATTTACAGTCACTTTTTGTTGCTGCTAAACTTTGAGTTGTGGTTCAGGTCTGCCCAGAGTATTGTCTTTCACTCAGTAGTGGTTGCATATTCAAACTCTGCAACCAACCTGAAAATGGAAAATTATATAGCTGAGTTAATTGAAAATCTGCTTATGGTGCATGGTGGCGTGAGCAGTAATTGACACAAAGTGCTGCTTAGCACACAGAATCAATTATTTTCGATTGACATAAAACAGGAAATCGTTTAATGTCAGATTGATATTAATGAGCACAGTTGTACTAACGAGTGCAAGACTACCTACAGCATTACATTTCTTCTTCTGGTAAGGAACTTAACACAAAGTGAGCTGAACCCTTAGGGGCAATGATACTGTGTTTTGAAAAATGACTTTAACAGTGAATTAAAGATAAGATTGTTATTGTGGGAATCTTTTCTGAAAATGGGATAGTGCTTATTTGAGCAAGCCATATTATACTGTTAGTCTGAGAATCACAAGGTGGCTTTTGACTCATTACTGGAGAGGGAAATTTTGTTAATAGTGAAGGTCGGGATGATTTTCCAGTGGTGCTGAGCATGTCCAAGGAAGATACTAGTATGGTAAAAAGAGGCAGAATCACTGAGGAAGTATTTTCTCCCCTGCTTGCCCCTACTGCTATAAAACTGATCTGACTCCCTTCTTTCCTGACTAATAAAATCTCCCAGAGAACAGCCTGTGTTGTATTGCACAGTTCTCCGCACACCTAGAGACTATGCCTAATGGCCATATCTCTGTTTGCAGTACAAGAAGGGTAGAACCTCAGAGGAATGTGAGAGATGTTTCAAACTGTTCCTATATATATGTATATATATAAATATATATGTAAATATATATATATATATATAAAATGTTGACCATCTGTAAATGTGAGCTCTGTACATCTTCCACATCCAGGATCCAACCTCTTCCTATTCACAGGTCCCTGAAATGGCACCCTGCAGCCTCTGAGAGAGTCCTTTAGAAGCTTTCACCATAGTTTTCCAACAGAACAGAAGCACTGAGACTTGTTTCTCCTCAGTTTAGATACTGAAAGTTAATTCTTTAAAACTAAGTTATCTGGCCTTCTTCTATGGTCAGTGTAAAGGGATGGACACCTGCACAGGGTGATGAGTCTGGTCCTCCTCAGATACCAATAAGGAATGGGATTATTGTCTCTCTACAGCTGTCTCTTTCCATTGACCGGAGGGGTAGAGTCCAGCTGTCTCCTCTTGCTTGTACATTGTTCACTTTTAGAAAACTAAGATTAGATCGGTTGTATTCTATACACCCTATCTGTAGCAGCCCTCAGAGGAGGAAATAGAATAATATATATGCAGGATAAGACAAGATGTCTTTACCTTGCCTTGTCCTAGTCTTGGAATAATCATTATAGCAATGCAAAATAACCATGAAAGCAACAAAATGTCCCTGAACTACTTACCAAGTAATATAATGATACAGAGAAGAATGGCAATAAGAGCCCCAGTGCTAAGACCAGTAGGATGAATCAAGGCTTCTGCATTGCAGGACAGCATCTTGCCTCGATGGTCACAAGCACATACTCGAATAGTCACTGTTTCAGTGCTGCTCTGGATAGGGTAATCATTGTCTGATATTACCACTGGCAAGAAGTAGGTACTCGTTTCATGCCGGTTATATCTGGTTTTTCGGGTGAAAATCCCTGCTGTGTTATCTGGAAATATACAAAGCATGCATTAAGTCTTCATCTGAAGACTGAAAGCAAGAAGAGATAATAAGAAAAGTCTTCCCAGAAGTTCACCTCTGTTGTCCTGTAGTGTAAAGTTTGAGCTGCTGGCTGCCTCAGGAGCTAAGGAGAATGAAAACTGATGTCCATTGTAAGAGTCATCTTTATCAACAGCACTTAATGTTTGTATCAGCTGAAACAATAAGAACAGAATTATTTTCAAAGTCAGTGGACTTTATTTATGTAATCTAGGATTGTAAAGTAATCTTGCTAATTTTTTTCTTCTGTTTTTAGGCAAATAATGTTGTTATAGTGAGCTTAAGAAAAGTGATGCTGTTTAGCATTACCATATTATTGTATTCTATACCATCAGCCAGGAACATAATGAATTTGAAAGTTGGCAGTAAAACCATGTTGAATTCAACAGAAGGCTTGGGTTGATGCCACTCCAGATGGGTAGGAAACCTTTGCATGTGATGAAAGTGAGACAGTCCAAGCTGACTGTTTATTTATTTACCCAAATCTCATGTCACAGAATTAGCGTGGCTGAATCTTCCAAATTATCTGCTACTTTGAACTACTTAGCAATAGGACAGGTTGAGTGAGAGCTATCTAGCATAAAGTAGTTGTATCACAGACAGGACCTGTAACAGTTACAGCCCTGAAACAGTTTTTGAAGGAGACAGTGGAGATGCCTGAATAAAGCAGAGAATCACGGAATGAAAATGAGTCAGGGATAACAAGGTGCAGTACAGAAAATAACAGCCTAAAACATGCCGTCATGTTAGCTGCAAGAATACTAAGTGAAATCAGATACTGCACAGCCACTGTTTAATTTTGTAATTAAGTTTGATGCAATGCGAAGTATACCCTCTTGATGAGGTGATGCAAGAGCAGTAGCAAAACTGATTTAATTTGGAATATTTTCTTAGTACAAGGAGACAACACACCTGTTCTGCTTTTGCATTTTCACAGACGAAGGTTTCGTAAAACATGGCAAACTCTGGAGCGTTGTCATTTACATCCAAAACCTTAATGAACACTGGAACACGGCTGCTTTGTTTTGGGTTGTCTGAAACGATAAAACCAGAATGAACAGAGATTTTATTTAGCCCAGCTGCCAACACAGTGCAGCAGAGGAAAAGGACAGACTTCTAGGCTCATTGCCTTAATTCTTCTCACTCACAGCACTTCACTTAGATTCTGTTGATTTCTGGTGAATGCATTATGGATGTATGTATTGTCATTACTCTAATTCTGTGTAAACTATAGAGTTAAGACTGGATAGGATTCCAGGATTTACAAATTCCTCTGAACATTCCAAGTATGATTATGAATGTATTTGTGATATATGCATAAATATAATACTGGACCTAAATTAAATCTATATATTAGCCCACTGATACAGTTTGGTTGCAACAAAGTATCTAGAACATATCTCCTTCCTTAGCTCTGAAACAGGACGACTGAAGAGTCATGAAGATGGAATTGAATGGGTTTTTTCCTCTCCACTTGTTAAATATAATGTTTTGTCCCCACAAATCTTGTGACACAGTTCCTTAAGCTACCATGATTATCATTATGTTATAGAAATAGTAACTGCAGCTGTGATCACAGATGTTTTCTAATCTGCTATAAATTGATTTGGTTGGTGTTCCAGAGTAAAAACTAAAATGTATCAGCTGAAGACCATAAGCCCTATATAGAATCTGCAGATCCCCATATGTAAACAATTTTTTTCCCTGTAAGGACTGCATTGTGCCAAGAGATTGAATTTCACAAGAATATTCCTGAGTATAAAATACTGATGAAAATACTGTCATCTTTCTAGATAAAAATGAAAACATCTGGAAATGCACCATACATCTATGAGGGAAAGAGTGGGATTGAAATTAGTTTCATTTAAAATAAATACCTTCCCCCCCTCTTATATGAGGGCTCACAGTGAATTTTGCTATGTTAATTTCCTGCCCATGTTAAAATAGTTTATTAATGCATTTTAACCTATGACTCAATGAAAAAAATGTACAATAAAACATAGCAGATCTAAGACTCTATGTGCTTCTACAAGCATTAACTACAGTAGCTTGTTGACTTTATTATTATATTTATTCATTATAGTAGCTTGTTGACTTTAAATAAAAGTCCTATTACTGTATTTATCATAGTTTATAAATTTAAAAATGCCTTCTCCAAAATAGGCACTGTGTATTTGTATTACAGAGCTCAGTCACTGGGACAATATATTGTGCTTTAATGCTCCACAGTCCTAATGAAGTTAGTGTGAGTCCATTAGGCACAAACTACCTTCTAATATGAAACATTGGGCTAAATTCATTCAATGAATAAAATAACAGTTTATGTATAATACAGACTAGGCTGAATTCTATGCTAAAATACATCAATAGAAATGGTGATTTTTTTATAATAGTCAGAAATCAAAGGTATTCATTTGAAGTCGCGGGACTATTGGCAAGACTATTTCATAAGGGCATACTTTTCTAACAAATACATTCAAATATATTGGCCAATGTATTTCTTCTCCTATCAAGAGTTACAATTGTTTTCTTTCCTGCTTTTTGAACCATGAACTACATATTTTCATTTTATTTCTAGGTGCTTAAGGTTCTCACAATTTAAAATGATACTGGACTAAATAGTAGCTTCATAAAAACTCTATGAACATGAGTCTTTTTTCTGATTTAAAGGAAATGTAAGTTTAAAGATGGCTTCAAGTCTTTTTTAATTTTTCTTTTTTGTCATCATCTTTCAAATTATTCGTGCAGGTTAATTGATGTAGGTTAATTTGTTTGCATTATCCTTTAATTACTGCTGGGCTCCATCTCAAAAAAACCTCCATAGACTCCACAAACTGCTTAAATCTGTTTCTCTCTACAGGGATACAGGGATATGATTTCTGTTGAGCCAGCAACCAAGCTGTTAAAGTGGGTTTTTTTCAGAATACAGCCTCAAAATCCTGCCAATGTTTGATTTACCCTTAAATGTTAAGCAACGAACATTTAAAAATACTCTGGGAATTCTCTCTGGTAAATCAGCTGTAATTCTGCAGCTGTGACTCAGTAGACATGTGTACTGAGTTTTAATGCCAATTTGCCTTCTGCCTATGGCAGATGTACTGACCTAGTGCTTCACCAACTATTTGTCTGCAGCAGTCACAGCATGACTGTTTCTCTGGCTGCTGAGCAATTGCAGCTCATACTGGTGAAAAAGAAGAACATTTAGAAATGGAGCAATCTACACTTACTGACAATTTTAGAGCAAGGCAAAACAAATTTTGTATCTTTTTTTTTTAACTGTAAAATGAAATCAAGAACAGTCATCACTGAAAGGTGTTTCTCCTTATGACTTTATAATTTAATTTTTTTTTCCATACCCAAGGAAGCACCCACCCATCTGAACGTGCATCCTGCCTGCAACTTGACTGGATTTTTTATTTTTTTTTGAGATTACTTCACTGAAATATACCTGGAGTTTAATGTGATAATATGCCATTGAGGCTAATCAGTGATTCTATGGAATTTAGTGGAATGGGACTTTAGGCAGCCTTGCTAGAAATTACTGGATTTAGCTAGGAACAATAAGCAGTGGTACTTTCAACTCTAGTCTCTTGAGACTAAAATTAGTCCTAGATTCCAGAACAGTAGCTGCATCGCAACCAAGGAAATTGCCTTTGGAAGACATCTACCCTTGTTATGCCCAATTTGGTCTAGTAAAGCATACCCTAGGAAGTATCTTGTTGCAGCCTGGAAGGATTCAGCCTAAAGAGAAACAGGAATTAAGACAGAAGCCAATATCAGACACAAGAGGTTTAGTTGAGAGGGTCTGGCCCAGTAGAAGGTCTGTGCTTAGAGGAGGAAACAAGGAATCAAATGAGATTTTGTATGGATGCTAAGTTGGTTTTCAGACACTATAGAGTTTTCTATACTGTAGACTATTTCAGCCCTGCTGGGATCAGTGCAAACGTGCTTCCTATATGTTGCTATTCTTTCCTTTTTAGGTGTTTATTTTTCCTCTCTTCCTCTAGCCAGGGGCTGCCTGTAGTGTACAACTCTTGACCCTAGATCACTCCTTCAAGGACTTAATGGAAACAGAAACATCTAACAGTTAGCATTTGGTGTGCTGAAACCCCACACATAGCATTAAAAGGCACAGGCTTACAAGAGATGGAGAGAACTGTTAATGCCTTATCATTCCTGTAGGTTCAAGCTCCCTACTCTTTCACATAACCATCTGCTTGTCTCAGTAGCATTGTTTCACATCAGTTTTCAGTTTTAAAAAGACTTACACAATAAAGAAAGCTGGAGTCAAGTACTCTTTAGCCCTTAAGTTACACTCCTCACTGTTCGGCAGGTGATTGAGCCATATAAACATACTCACAACAAAAGAAAGTAGAGCTTACATTGTTTCAGAAAAATGAAAACTCATTTAGCCTCTGAGTTGCAGGAAGACTTTGTGACACTCATAGAACTGGTGTTTATATTAAATTTATCTACCATTCCGCCATAAACATAGGCACTGTGACTCTGCAAAAGCAAATAGAATTGCATTCCCTAATATTTGAGAACTCGATGTGCTTATAGTTAATGTATTAAAATAAAAATGATTTTTTTAAAGGCCATCTACCATCCATGTCCTTATCTTAGATCCCCGGCATTTCTACTTCTAAAATCAACATGACTAGTATTATCACAATATCATTAGTTCAGAACAATCCTAAACTAAGTGACAGACTGATTTGTAACCACAGCTTGTAATTTCAAAAGGATGCACAAGAACTTAAAAGTAGAAATCCTTAAAACTGTTAAGATCTGGGCACCTAGCTCAGCCCAGCCACCTTAGCTTCAATTGAAAACATCCAGTCTGGATGAGACTGAATTCAGCTAAGGAATGGAGTTTGGCTTTAAACCATCTTGTTTGCTGCATGCTAGTTTTTGATTTCAACAACCACAGTCAAAAATGGCTATTACTGATTAGAAAACACAGAACTGTCTTCTTTCCTTCCTGCTCAGCTAAGTTACCTCTTCATGAACTGAACTGTCTTCTTCCTGCTCAGCTAAGTTACCTCTTCATGAACTGTGTCCCTAGTAAACACAAAACTGCAGACAAGCTCTTGTAGAGTTACTACTTCTTCATTAGTATTGAGTGGAGCATCCATATAACCTGACATCTGTCCAACTGTGCTTTCCACACACACAGCTAGAAGGCTAAATTCATTACATCAGGGAGAGGAGCTGTATTTAGGTTTAACTTACTGATCTCTGCTGCTATTACTGTAATGTTGTGCCACAGCAGTGTTTCCCGGTCAAGAGGTTTTGAAGTGAATATCGAACCATTTCCTGAATTGATGTTGAATACTCTGTCCATATCAGTGTGACGATCTACAGAGTATCTGCAAATAGAGAGACGTGGGTTAGGGGAATGCTTTCCTTTTAATTTCTATGCTCTTAAACCATTTTCTAAGACTAGACATCAAACATCTAGCAAATGGGGTTTCCTTTTGTTTTCAGCGCAGGTTTCAGAATCTTTATGTATTCGCACAAAGAGCTAATTCTGAGTTACTGGATAATGACACATTGGAGGTTTGATTTAGAAGGTGGAGTATTGTCAGTGAATAAATGAATTGCTGCAGAATTTACATACCTCTGAGAATCATCAAAGCTTTGTTTTTAGTGAGAAATGTGAAATCTGTGTCCTGAAAGATATGAAGTTTATTTTAAGGCTGAGTTGGCTTTCCCTTTATAAAACTCTCTTTTTATGGTTTGATATCTCAACTGTTCCAAATCATTTCTGATATAAAATTTGAAGGCTGAGGTGCATTTCTGCCTCTCACTTCCAAGAATTAAAAAAGGCTGCCCCACCAAACCAAGTCAGCATGGAATAGAGATTCATTATTCCACGGTACATATCACACAAAGGTTTGCTGTAACTCATTAAAACTAACATTCTCAGCCATGCTTGATGGTATCTAGATGTGAAAATGAATGCTAACAAGCTCTGGGGGAGCTCAGAGTCTAAATACAGATTCAAATTTTCAATCTAATCTTTTGCTTTTTCTGCTGAACTGAATGAATCCAAGTTTAAAAGCTGAACTCTCCAGTTCCCAGGAGAGGGTGCTACCACCTTGATCCAAATGCAGTGACTTGGTTTCATCTCTCATGAAGGGAAAATTCTTGCATAAATTATGTTTTGACAGAAATATGTCTCCGATGTTGCCAAAGCAAGAATGCAATTGCATTATGCTGCTCTTGTTTCAAGCCCAAATGTGTGCTCATGTACAATCCAGGACAGAGCCTTAGGAAACCCAGTGTGTACCCCTGGTCTCCTTGCAGGCCATGTCGATGGAGACAAAGGCAGCTACTGCTGTCCCTTGTGTCCAGACAAGGATAACGATAATGGCTGAGCTGGTAAGCAGTCAGATGAAAACTATGCCAGGAAAATGACTGGCAGAGTTTACTGCCACTACAGAACTGAGGGGAATGCAGAGGCTGAAGAAAAATTTCTGTTCCCTGCTCTGCCCTAGAAGCAGCTGCAAGACACGTCTTTTATTATGCATGGATTTCCTAGTGCCTGTGCAGTGCCTCTTAAATTCTGAGAAAGATCTTGCATGGATGAAGGAGGGAATAGAAGAATCTAGTTGAGACATGATTCTGACAAAAGTTTAAAATTAACTAACTTGCTAATTATCTTGTAACTGAATTTTTTTTCTTCCTTGCATATAAAAGAATGGGATATAATGTCCACAGTAGATTAGACAGGTCTTACTCCAAAATAAGAATTCAAGTGTAGCCTACTTTCCTAGACAAAACAATAGAAAGTATTAACTATTTGCATTAAACTGTTTTTCTTTTTCCATCTTAAATTTCTATGGAACAAAGCAAATGACATTTACAGGTACTAGGACTAGCAAGCTAACTTTTTTTTGCTAGGACTTGCTCAGGCACACCTTGCTAGTTTTTCAAGAGTTCAGATGTAGTTTTCATTCCCTGCTGCCACTTTACTGACAATACTGCAATTTTGGCTGCACGGAGTCAGCCATGGTGTCACTAACCTAGTTCCTTTATGCAGCATTATGATGCTACCCTCAGCTTGAAAAGCGTTGCTTTGTCCGAATCTAAATAGCAGATGTGAATTTGTTGACTTGGTTGAAATGTTTGATGAAAACAAGTTTATACAAACTTGTCTGACTAGTTTATATTTTTACAAAGTAAATATTTGATATGGTAAACATTTCATTTTAACTTTCATTCACTCAGGCTTTGTATGATATTATGTTGGTATTTTGTGAATTCAATTATTTTTCAGATATTCTGCAGCTCATTTCCATATCTTTCAGCTGAAATACTTTGTTATTTCCATTTTGCAGTAAATCTAGATTTTCCATTCTTCTTTGAAATGAAGTATCAGGATTTTCCATAGATTAGCTGTTCCAGTCAACTGCACTAGCATGTTTCAGGCTCTTATTCAGCAAGATATTTAAATAAGCAACTAGCTTTAAGCATGAGTTGTCCACACATTGGGGGTTTTTCTTCTTCAATTTTACTTTCACTCCTGCTTTATATTTTGAATGAACCTGAAATATCTTACTATCTTAGCACTTTTTAATGTCTTAGTGTATTGTGATCACTATCTGCACCTTTTAGAATTTCCCAAATTCAGTATCTGGATAAAAAAAAAAAAAAAAAGGTTCTGGACTTCTTCTAGGATTACCAGAGGTGTAACACCGAGGACTTCTTCTTCAAGATATTAAGAATTTTAAAAGGTAAATATTTGTACAGCCATACGTATATTCAGTCATTTGCACAGTGGACAGTTATACTCATAAAAAAAACTCAGCAGAGAACAGTTTCTTAATGAAATGTTAATTTTATTTCTTCATATCCCAAAGAAAATACATACAAGGTCAATGCAGTTAAACTATATTCCAATTATACTATTAAATCTGGTCTAGAAGGATGATTTTAATAAGCTAGACTGTCACTTCTGTTTCTCAGTTTGCATAATCCAGTCTCTTTTGATCAAGACTCTTAATTATGTTGAATTAGTGGTGATTCTGACTTATGGATCATAACCCAGTAAGAATTAAGAAGATAACATCAAACTCATTCTTACATTTATTTAATGAAATTACTCGTGTGTATTTGTCAGATTTCAGGATTTCATCTCTTTCAAACTTTGAGGAATTGACAAGCTAGGAAGTTAAAAGGTATCTATGCAGATTAGAGTCTCTCCTTTTATATAATAGGAAGAAGGTAAGGGTGAAAGAGAGAATATAACACATGCAAATATGTTGTCAGTAAAATACACAAACAAAATTAAGCCTTACATTTGTTTGCAGATCATTTTCATCTGGGATACTTTAGTAAATCAAATCACAGCAGGAAGACAGTTCCAGTGACTGATGAACTTCATTATGCCTCTGAGGAGTTACTATAGCAAAAAAACTCAACTAGCAATTTAAAAAGATCTGATGTACAATACAGCAGTGCCAGTTTCAGCATTGTTTTTTTTTCAGTATGCAGCAGTTTATATTATTTCTGTGTAGATCAAACACAAGCAGAATGCAAAAATTTTTTTTTATAACACATCTGGACAGTGGAGTGTTACTCAGGGCTGTGTTAATGCCACGACATACAGATGCATATTCAAATATAGTTGGTGTATTTTTGTATTTTCGTATTTTCTCAACATATTTTTTTTTCACATTTTCACAGCAAAACTTAATTTATAAGAGACAGACTAATGAAACTTAGTTTTACCAATATAGAGAGGTCAGGAATGATTATGCAGTCTTACAACCAGGGCAGATATCTGCTTCATATTTTGCTGTTGCTTCATTGTCTTCTGATGTTCAGCTGCTTGCTGTCTAATGTAACCACAAGTCAGGAAGATTTGTGGGTCAGGAAGGGATGTGTGTGTGAATTTTTCATAATGCATTTTCATAATGATATTGTGAAGGTTTCCTTTAATGGAAGATCAAAGGGGCTTTCATCTAACAGAGTTAGGGCTCAGTTTGTTTTGGAAGAGAAATCTTCACTGGAGTAGAGGAGAAAATGGAAGGTTTTCATTGTAATATCAAGTATCTAAAGATTTTATTTTTAACCTTCAAGAAAAATTGACAAGCAAGTGACAAGTCATATATATACAGTCTAATTGCATCTTCCCCGAAGCTCAGAGTGAAAATCGGATTTAGCATCTCTATTGCATGATAGAAAAAAAAAATTACCTTGTCAAAAAGATGCAGACTCAACTCATGCCCCTAAATTCTAGCAGATACTCAAGATATTAGCACCATAAAATTACATTTATTGCAGGTTAACACCTCTCAGGCTACTGCTCTCTGCTGATCTCCTTCCCCTCTGATTTTCACGTTTCTTCTTGCTGTGTTTATTTCTACTACTCTAACCTCTTTCTCATTTTTATTTTACTTTTCCTTGTACTTTGCTGTTGCATATTAATAAAGTAAAAAGAAAACAAGCTTTCTGCTGCACTGCATCAGTTTTGACACTTCTGCTAAATTTTGCTCAATAACTATCTGATACTTTAATATGCAAAGTACCTATACTGTATTAAAGAACTGCCCTTTGAAAGTTAGGTAAGTTTTAGCACACACATTCAATTAATAGCAAAGAGCCAGTAGGCAGTACTCAACAATGAACAGCATAATCCCTATCCACTGTAAATCACTTATAATTAGGAGCTGGCGCTGGTGTGAAATGCAAATGGTTGTAGTTATCACCACAGGGAAGCACTCCCCTTACTCTCCAGTGCCATTAGATATAAAAAAGTAGGTTCCTATGAAGTCTGCAAGGGGCCTAGGTGTCACCCCAAACAATTTTTCATCTTCATGCTAGCATGCCCACGAAAACATGCTATAGAACCTGTTTATTCTGTCCCTGGGCTTCACCAAAGTCCGCAAAACATGATGCTACTCTGTAAGTGACTATGCTCTGCTGGCCCAGAACACCATATAACTGTTGCATGTCATAATACAAATGAAAGAAAGCCTTAATTAAACTTAGAAGGCTTAGTCTTGAACAAGAATTTGTGTAGGGCATGCCATGCGAACTGAAGATAATGAGACTTTCTGCAGAAACATTTTAGATTTAGCTTCTTCATCTAGAAAATTAAGATTATAATATTTACCCCTTTCACAAGATGAGCTAAGAGCTTAACACTTACTCATGCCTCACCAATATAGTAAGATATCTTGATGAAAGATAGTTGTTTGCAGAAGTGGACTGGATTTTTATTAAACCTGCATTGTTCTATTTTGATCTAAATACTACTATCGCATTTCCAAGGTGCCTAGTCAGAGACATGCTGAAAATTGACCTGAATTTAATATTGTTGTACTTCTCATTTCCTCCTCTCACTGCCTTGTCAGTAGCAATGAACTTTAAATAAAGCACACAATTATTTAAAAGTTCTTTTATACTGTATCCAATATGACTTAAGTACTCCAGCATATATTGAAACAATGTACCACTTAATTTACGAAAAATGAAGGCTTAGTTTTAGCTACTCCAGCCTTAACATTTCCTCCACTACCTTTAAGATTAGTTTATTGATTCATGGCAAGTGTAATTTACAAAGTTCATGAGACTGACTCTTTATCTTATTAGCCTTACACTGATACAGGTGAGATCAGAGCCTGTGTGTGCACACAAACTGATTTTGAGGCATTTCTACTTGTAGTTTAGAGGAGATAACTCTGACCTCTGTTCAGTAGGTCTGGACAGACGGAAGAAAAGGCTGCTGAATCACCCCCCTGTCATGTAGCCAAGAGGATGCACTTCACTGCACTGGAAAATGTTAAAGGTGGAAGAACAACACTAACATCTTCTTAGTGCTCTTTTTGCAGTCAACTCTTTCATGGTAGAAATAACAACAGACATTAGTTACTGAAGAGATTAGGATGTAATTCAAGATGCAAAGGCCATGCAAACACAATCACACATAACGACATATGCTCAAGCGTGAGAGATTATTTACCATCTACAATACTCCATATTTAAGCATGCCCTACAATTCACATTGTTAGAAGTGATTTTTTTTTGGTGGTGCTGACACGATAGGAGCAAAATTAACGCTGTAAAAAATTTACGGACAAGCTGAAATAGTATATGCTTACTTGACAGGGTTCCTGGCAGCATCTGGATCCTGAGCAGTTACTGCTCCTATTACACTGTTTATTGGAACATCTTCTTTCACTTCCATTATGTATGCTGGTCTGCTGAACACAGGGGGTTCATCTACATCCTCCACCTGAATTCTGACTGTAGCTGAGTCCTTGAATGGCCCCAAGTACAGGAATCGAGGGTCTACATGAGTATTTGCAGCTTCCACTTTGAGAATATATAAGTTTTTATTTTCAAAATCCAACGCCTGGCAAGAAAAAAAAAAAAAAAAGGTGTGAGAAGTCTGTGGGGATTGCTGTGGCTTGCAGCCAGATGAGCCAAATGAATGGTGGGAACTCATGGAGAGGCTTGAGCTAGATAACAAGAACCTGAACTGGAATTAAAATGCTAACAGGAGTGAGAACGAAAGGGCTCTTATGCCACTGATGATATAATAAGAAAAAAAAATTCAAGGAATTCTATGCCTGGAACTCCTAAACACCAATTCGTCTTCTCAAATAACGTTAACTCTTTGCGCCTGTTATTCTGTCATTTTTGGCATTTTGACGATTTCTTTTCTATCCCTTGCCTATAAGCAGCACACATTAAAGGAGAGAAGTTTTTCTAGGTATTGCTTGTTTAGATATTGGCATTCCATCACTGAAATGAAACACTGTGACATCTAGTGTCTGGATATGCAGGACCACCCATCAAGTCAAACATAATTTCATGATTGGCTATGACTATATCACACTGTTAAATGTATGAAGAAGCAGCATTTAGCAACTCTTTGCCACTGTACTTGGAGAAATGTGGAGAGGGAGTAGTCACCCCATTTTTCCATTGTATTGTAGAGGATTCACAGCTTCTGTCAGCAACAGACAGAAATGCAAATGGAGTTAGACTGATATCATAATCAGACCCTGGAAGGCATCTCCTAAAAAACAAGTAATGACAGGTGTCGTACTGATATCAACAAGCAAGTGCATCTTTGGAAAATCTACACAATGTCTATCTAGTGATGACTGAACCTGAACTGATGAAGGACGATATCTGTAACCTTATCAAGTTTGCCTGATAGCCCACTGTAAACAATATTTCTCAAACCTTTTCTGACAGCCAATGTGCAATGTAGTAGATGATGTCCACTATGATCTAGCAAGGCGCTGTGATTTTTTTTTCTAAAGCAAAAACATGTTGATAGATTTATTAATTACATTTTGACAAAATGTGAGTCAAAAGAAACTTGTCTGTGTACTTTAATATATTATAGCTATACAATTCAACATCCTCTGATAATGCAAAATAGGCAATATGATACTGATTATTTCTGTGTTCTTAGCACCTTCTGCTAAGTGAGCAAATCATGTAAGCATCACAGAGAGAAAATCACAGCTTGATGGTGGTGCTTCCTTGAGTTTTTCTGTGGATAAGTATAATTTTTTCTCAGTCCCACCCCACTCCTTAGCTTATTTACTCTCTCAGCTCCTTCAAAGTATGTGCATTGGGGCTTAGTAAGGGAAGTATAAGAGGAAGGATACCAATTGCTCGTATAAAAGAAACTTTACATGTGTTAAGATATTTACCTTTTTCACAGTTATAATTCCTTCCTGTGTGTCCTTGTCTGTGGTAATTCCAAACATGTCATATCCATCCCCCTCAGTGATGCTGTATTCAATTTCTGCATTTTCATCCATGTCAGCATCATTGGCTTTTATCCTGCCAACTGGTGAGTCTAGTGGCATAGACTCAGGAGCTCTGAATTGATATGTGCCTACAGCAGACAGAGAAGGAAATTTTGTTAGTCAGTCTCATGGTACTTTGGACACCATCTCTCAGCCCACTGTCCATGCTGGGCATGCACAGGCGAGTTAGTGAGTCATTGTGTCTTCAAGCCTTCCTGGGCCAAAAGCCTTCACCTTCTGCCATACTTTCAGGTGGATAAAAGTAACTTATTTCTCTATCTGTTTTCTAATATGGAAGATGGGCATTTTGCTTTGCTAGAAACATGTAATTTTAGCAACATATGTCCCTTTCAAGACATTCTCATGGTCTCTGTGGGCCATATCAGAACTGTATATGAAAAACGACTCGAGGCCAAAGGACAAATATTAAGAACTGTGAGAGGCCAATGCAGCTTAGTAACAGTAAAGCTGAATCCAGCTCAAATGCCTATTAAAAATATGCTACATTGAATTTTTGTCTGCAAAAAAGGCTACTTGTGGAATGTTGGCATTATGAAGCTGTATCTTTGGTTTTCATATTGAAGACATTTATGTCCAGAGATGTATAATTAACTCATTGGGGTCAGAGTGCTATATTTCTTCTTAAGTTGCTCTAATTTAAATGGAAACTCTTTGCCCACAGCTAAGAACAGAGTTTGAACTTAAATGACAAGTTGCTTCCAATAACTTTCCCAGTGACTTAACTGCCAAAGCTTGCTGATTTGTCTGATAGGATCTGCAATTATTTTCTCTAACAGTTGCTCTTGACTTTGACACACACTGACACTGTGATACACACATATCATACAGAGAGCAGTGGTTAGAAAACACAAAACAAGAAGAAAAAGAGAGAGAATAAGAAGGAAGGAAGTAAAGAGAGGGAAAGAGAAGTGGATGAAAGCTGAATCACTTTGAATTACTTATAGCCATGAATGGCCACTAATAGAAATTACTTTCTAGGAGAGCTTGCTCAACTGATTCCCATAAATATCACACAGATAAGTACCAAATTATTTGAAACAGGGGAAGTAAAATAGGCAGGAATGCCTAGTGTATGTACATGCTTTTGTTTCTGTATGCAAAGAATATAAGAAAATCCATTGAAGCAAATGTTTTCTGGTTGTAAATATTTATTTTTTATGTAATTGCTTTTGGGATATTTTTGCATAATTAAATAAATATGTTTCAAAACTTAAATACATTAGATTACAACAGAAATCTTAAAATGTGATCCACCACAAGGCCTGAAAGAAATAACAGTGAACAAGAAATACAGATTGTGTTGATCTCAGCTTTTTAATAGGTAGAAAAAACAGAAGTTGTTTCTGCACAATAATTCACCTCTCAAACTGCCCACTGCAGTGAAGTAAAAATATTAAATATTTGTTTCCCAGTCGCTGCAATTGAGCTTAGTATGATGCTATTGCTTACTTATGTGCTCTTTTTTGCCTTCCTAAAGAAAGTTTGATACTCAGTAAGTCCACAATAGAAGAAACAATATCTAAGGTGAACAAAAATCAAAACAACAACAAGTTTTGTCCATGTTAATGTTACAACACAGAATGTAAATATCCCATACTCTGGGGGAAGCGAGGTGGATTGTCATTTACGTCCGTCAACGTGATGTTCACAGTGGTGGTTCCCGATAATCCGCCCATCTGGCCTCCCATGTCTTTAGCCTGGATGACCACTTGGTACTGCTCTCTATTTTCACGGTCCATGTTTAGCAAAGCAGTTTTAATAATGCCTGAAAACATGAAAATTAAAGAGCGGGGAGTTCACATGTAAGGTACTGACTTTGATGGAAATTCTTATTAAAAAACCCCTACAGTCTAAAAAACAAAACAATCTCTTTGTAATAAGTAAACTTTGCCCAGTACAAATATTTACTGTTATGAGATGGTTCATTAAATTACAGATTTGTCATGTCACATCTTAGGCTACTGACTATGTGACAGACACAATATTAGTGGCATCCCCAGAAAGATGTTCTACTTATTTGCAAGCTATTTATTTTACATAACTATTTACCCTCTTTCAGTTCCATGCTAAAGTCTCTCACTGAACTGGAAGAAGGCTCTTTGTTCATTATAATGTGCTCCATCATTTCTCTCCAGTTCTGTCAATATTTTTATTTTGACAGACATGGTAAAAAAAAAAAAGAAAATCTAATTTTAGTAAGATACCATTAAACAGTGCAACAACATTAAATGGAAGAAGAGAAATTAATTAAGAAAATTCTGAGCATCCAAACATGTCTGAGGGTATATATTTTTATTTATACATTGATTAGAATGATTTGCCAGTCACTTCCTTCTTCAAAGGCCAATTCCTATTGAAATTCAATCATTCAGATTTACCATGAAGCAAAATGTTTGCATTCTCACTGGATCTCTTAAGGTAAGAACTGACTCCTTTGTAGGCAAAAGGAGTGAAATTCAAGTATTGAAATCCATGACAAAACTCACAGTGACTTTGACAGAGACTTATTTCACTCTAGGAGTTCTGAAATTGATTTCCATGGCAGGAAGATCAAGACTGTGGTTTACTTGGCTTCCCATGCCCCATACAAGCATCTTGCTAAAAGATTATTACTGGTGAACTCTCAGCTACCTTATCCTTCTTATAACTCTAGAAGAGGATATAGTGTAGTGTCCAAGTCAGAATGAGTGCATCAGTGCAAAAATCCTGGTTTGTATTATCTAATACCTTATGCTTGAAGGGAAGCTCCTTTTGATCTTGGCTCTCACTTCTTTCAGAATTGTGTACACTTTTTCATCTCAGGTTTGAATTTGAGACATGTAATCTCTCCCTCCTTTTCCCTGACTGAGTCTCTACAATTTATTTAAGATAGGAACCAACGCTAAAACCTGATTAATTGTCTGTGATAATCTATTTCTTTCCTGTAAGGATGCTAAGGAGAATCGATTTCTCTAGCTTCCAGCAACCTAACACAGCAGATATTCCCAGTGAAGGAGTTTCTTGAGATCTCTTGTTTCTCTCCAGAAGATTTTGTTATAAAGCTATGTAAATGGTAGAGTAGATCCAGTCAGCTAGAATGCATGTGTTTTACATGCACAGATTCTAAAGCTGTTATTCAGACCAATTAATATTCCAGTCACTGTCTGTAATTTAAACATCCTCCAAAAACAGAACTCAGAACTTTGGGATTCTATTTGTGATCTTCTAGTTAAGTGCAACAGTCAATTTTACCTCTTCTATCATTATTCTTAATTAAGATTTCTTTCATAAAATTAGCATTAAAGTGATATGCTGCAGATGTACAGAAATTATAATTACTTTAAACAAGTTTTGAAGAAGCAGAAGGAGAAAAAAACCTCACTCGAACAAATCCTCAGTCTTAATTTAGCCATTATGAAGATCTATGAGGAATAAGCACTTTTTTCCACACCCACCTGTTCCTCGTTTTCATCTAAAAGCCAACTTATTTGGTTTAATTTAAACATCCACAGCAGTCTCTGTACCCACTGCTTGTTAAAAATGATTGAAAACTGGTTCACATCCAATACTAATTGTATTTATTAGACTTTGCTGGTAAGATTAAAATAACGTAGGTGTCATGTTTACAGATGTATCACTCTATTAAGTTTGTCAGATTTTGCACTGAGATGTAATCTCTTAGAAGTTTTTTTTCTATTATATCCTAGCTTGGCTTAGCATGTCATTTTGAATTACAGCCATTGTCATACTGTGACAGATAAGGTCCCCTGACCTGTTTCAGATTCGACAGAGAAATATGGTTGTCCCTGGAGAATGCTGTAGACAACTTTAGCACTGTTCCCATATGTAGGATCATCAGCATCAGTTGCGGTGACCTGCACAACAAAGGTACCTGTAACGAAAAATTAAAGAAAATAAAAATGAATAGGTTTTTTTCATGGCCAAGACACTTATGACATAGAAAAAAAAAAAAGATTCAGGTTCATATCAGACTTGTGGCAAGAAGTTAGAGACATTCTTATTTTTTAGAAGTTTCTCTGTTCATAAAGGACAGTCCCAAAATGACAGCTCTCAAACCCAAAATGATAGTTGTCTTATTCTCAACTCATTAAAACACACAGTTATTGATTGGATATACAGATCTTTCATGGTGTTTCTTGTGAAGGAAGTAGAAATGCACCTTTCTCCAGATATTGAAAGCATTCCGAATCTGAATCTAGGTCAAGAATATACTTTTGCAAATTTACTCACACTTGTAAGGTATTTGATATAGGAATGTAAATCTCTTTTTTCATGTGTCTTCGAGAGAATGAAATGGTGTTGAATCCTAGGCAAAGTGTTAAGAAACATAAAAATTTAGCTTAGATTTTGGCATTTAAACCCATTTGTGAATAAAGTATTCACTTCCCACATCAAAATGTGAATACTGTGTTCTCACTTCATCAGATGAGGTTTCATCCATGTGACAAGTCCCATGAATGAGAGGAGAGAGTATGCCCCAAAGTCTTTATTTTCATATTGCTTGAGCTTTATGTTAATCTCATTCTTGATCATGATTAATTAATGCTTCTCTCCCTGGACATTATTTCAGATTAGAAATGTGCTTCTTGCAATTCAACCATCCATTGCTCCCTGACAAAGAAATCAAACTGCCCTCCCTAAGAATCAGAGACAAAGAATCAAAATCTGTTGACTTCTCAGGAAAAGATCCCATCTTAAAACCATACTTCAAGGAAGTTATTTTATTTTCTTGATGTATTCTTACAGCTCAATACATTTTAAATCAATAGAAAGATTTCAGTGGACTTCGAAGGACTTTGGAGCTCTTTTCTTTTGCACAAGAAGAGAAACAAAGGTCATAGGAAATTAATGGCATATCTCAGTATCAGTGATGAGTTGACCTGGGTTACAGTTTTTACTCCTGAAATGCGTACAACCCCTTCTGTACCTGCTCTTTTCCATTTTGTTTACTTTCCTGAACTAAAGAAGGATTGCTGAACGGATCTAGGAGTGGTATTGACACAGGTGACCACAGATTACCATATTATTACACTTTCGCTAAATCATGTTAACAAAGCTTATTAAACTCTAAGAGTGTCATGTAATACAGCTCTGAAGCTAAAGTAGATGGTATTAATTTGCATTTTTTGTGGTACGACAGAGGGAGCATGTTTCACTCAGCTGACACCTCTGATTCCAGCAAACTGGTGTCACTATCTTCCTGGAGTTAGATTTTTTTTTTAAACATCTGAGGTGCTTTTACTCCAGACTCAAACAGCAGCTGTCTGCATTCAGTGCCTGTAAACTTTGGGCCCTTCATTAACTCCACAGAAAGAACCCAGAGCAGACACTGAAATCAGTTTATTAGTTAGCACCTACCAACATCTGACATTTCAGGAATGCTGGCATTGTAAACATCCTTTGTAAACATTGGCTCATTGTCATTGATATCATGGATCTTAATGATGAACTCAGATTCTGGTTCCACTGGTCTTCCAGTCCTTCTGTTTACAGCCTGGGCACGGAGTATATATACAGGCTTTTCTTCCCTGTCTAGTCTCTTTGTAGCCTGGATGTCACCAGTGTTTTCGTTGATAATGAAGAGGTCTCCTGCTCCATCTCCAGAAAGGATGTATTTAAGTGATCCATCTCCTTTATCCTGGTCTGAATGCAGCTGGTGGTGAAATGGGAATAAATAAAAAGAAAGGAAAATAAATAATTGGGACACAATTCCAGATACTTTAACTGATATCATGATATATGCTTTACTACTATTAATACTCAGCCAAAAGTCTGTAGACTGCTTTTGGGAAAAGAATTGATATCACAGCAGAAGCAGTGAACAGATGGAGTTGTGTCTTGATGTCAGAATTGAAATGGTCTGCAACATTATAAGAAATTGCCCGAGGAGAACCATGAACTGAAGCTGCAGACCACCTTCCCAATCTAAATATACATTAATTAATTCTAAATGCTAGTGGCTAGGGGAAAGCCTAGAAGTATGTAGAGCAATGGGATCCTACAGTGGAAAACCAGTGGATTCAGGAATTGCAGTAAGCAAAAAATTAGAAAGTGTCCAGTCAAGCCACTTCTTAAGTTTAAATTTTGGATGCACAATAAAATGACATACTAAATACATACACAAATAGCAGATAAATACATGCATTCACAGATCGGCAAACTAAGGGCAGAGGCAGGCAGGCATACTAGACCATTACAGCACTGGAAGGGAAGAGATCAGTAACTCTACCCAAAGGGACATGGACCCAACTGAAACTTGATGGGGAAAAGGGAAAGAGGAGAATAATGGTAATTAGCATACAAAGCATGAACTGCCCAAACCATCACATTTTTTTCCCAGAAGATTTCCACATCTCTTGAAATGCTGTTTACTATACACAAAAGGTGTAACTGACTAAAATCATACCCTTATGGGTGTTCCTTTGATAAAGGCTTATTTATTCCCTTGGTTTTAAAATCAAGGCTAGTTACATTAGAAAAAATAAAAATTTAAAAAATGAAATATTAAAATGGCTTTTAAAATCAGAGCATAAGCGATAAAATTAATGGGAAAAAAAAATCTGTTAGGTAGCAAGATTCCTGGAAGTTGTTTCTCTCACAGTGAAGACATTTTATGAGTCAGAAGAGCTGGACCTTCTCAACCAGCTCTGTGCTTCTCTTTTCCTGAATAAAAGTCAGAAAAAAACCCCTAGTTGACTGTGTGGCAAAGTACTTAGCACTGCTGGATAGCATGCTTTGTAGAACAGAAAGTTCTACAGTTCACCAGTGCCTGGCTATGCCCCTACCATGCTGGAACGGCAGCCTCCAGCATTAGCTCATGGTCAACATTTTGGGTTTCCTCCAACATTCTGCCCAGATCAGAAACCTACTGCCAACCCACTTGAGGGCACTGTGCTCCACTCTGCCTATGCCTATGATCCCTAGAGAAAGCATACTTCATGTAACAGGTTTGCCTCTAAGGGCAAAACACTCTGTCACCACACATACCCAAACTGTCCAATAATACAAAATATCATAACTATAGCGTGGTTAATCATTAGCAGACATGCTGAAGCACTCTTCGTAATTTCCTTCAGGGAGAAAATGGGTATTCTGTGTAATTTTGCACGGAGCCGTTTTTCTTGATAATAAGAATACCAGTAAGTAGCTTCTACGCAGCATTTTTCCTAAGCAGATTTAACAACCCGTCACAAAATCAGTCAATACCATTTGCTCTGCTTTTAGGACAACAAAGCACACTTTCCCAGAAGGCTAGTCTTGAAATTTGGAATAGAGTTTAGGTCTCCTGAGTCCTATTCAGCTGGCCAATTCCCTCGGCCACGAGGCCTAGAGGAATTGTTTATTATATACAACCTCAGACTCTAAAAAACATCTATCAGCTTGTTAAGAAGTTAGACTAGAAGTCTACTGCAAGAAGTAATTTCAACAGATTATGTGATGAGAAGTTTTCTCAAAGACAACCTGCAAGACAAAGGCATGAAAATAACTTTGTCTTTAAAATTGTGTATTTTTATGATTGTTTCACATCAAAAATTCAACTTTTGTTTGCCTTGAAAGCCTCTTTAACTTGGTATCATACTGGGACAAAAACAGTCCTCAGTAACACACTATCATTAATTCATATGAATCATGGAATAGTGCTGTTTTGAGACTTGGTACAGGTTGAACTCCTAAGTTCATTTTTATCATCATTTTAATTAAACTTAATTTCAATGAACAAAGCAGCGAAAAAAAGGTCAGCATAGAAAAGGTGTTGGAACCACTGGAATAGTCCTCCATAACATTCTTTACCTAGCCCAGGCCACCTAAAGAGCTAAAAATGGAAACTTGTAGGATTTTTTCACATCAATTGTTTATGAAATTTCCACTCCTCCTCCACAATTAATTCACCTGTGTAAGACCCATTATGACTCCGGACATCAAGACATATCTCGGTGTCATCAATATTGAGAATGAGGATCTGGTCTTCATCTAAGGCTCAATCTCTAGACCTCCAGTTAAACCACTAACTTTTGAAAATAAACATTCCCCCTGACAAGATCCTTTCCAACTTTGATATCTTTAGTTTTACAGCCTTCCTAAGACATGACAGAACAAACTAAGTGATCAGTTAGGCAGGCTGTATGTGGATTATTTACTGTGAGAGTGAGACTTGGGTGAGGTCATGTCCTACATACCCATGTATAATAGAGCTAAGGCTGGCTAAATGCCTGTTCTTCAAACCAACAACAAACTCACACTGTGTCACCATGTGCGGTATCATGAATCTGGTTCAAAAAGGGTCTAAAAAAGTGTGACTAAAATCTGTTTGATTTCAGTAAAGGATAGGAGATGATAAGATAGTTGTCACCCTAAGGGGATAGACTTCTATCACACCACAATCAGCATCAACTGCTTAACTGCTGGGCCAAAATAGTTTGGATTTTGTTCCCTTTTATTCAGAAAAAAGTTTTTATATATTAGAAAAAAGCCAAACAGATCTTTAGAAAAGTTTCTTATACATAAATATGCAACATTAATTTATGAGGAAAACATTCAAAAAAAAGATTTATTATTTTATATTACATTATCTGTCCTCGACTGTTTGCTTGGTAGAAAAGTTTTATCCAGGTAAAGTTTTATCCAATCTTCTGTTTTATTTTTCCTTAAAAATTTATTTTGGAAGCAATGTTTTGCTTGTGTGACCTATATGAAGAGGGAAATTGCTACTGTAATCAGGTTAAAAAGAAATTAATTGGAAATAAAACTAAAGGACAAAAAGAATGGTGCAAGTTGAGGCCAGAAGGAAGGCCTGGAGGCAAGACGTGCTTTAAAATACAGGGGGTTTGTATATAGAAACACCACTGTGAGGTTATGAGGATGAAATGAATGGTAATAACAACCCCATTTTCCTTTAAGTTGAAGTTATTTTTCACTACCCAGACAACTCATTGCAAAGAAAGTGATGAGGTACGTGCATAAATTATACTGCAGATGCTTTTAGCAGGGCTGATGCTAGCCAATACACAATATTATAGCTTCAGTCTGTGTACTAATCCGTGTTGCAGAGGAGGGTCCGTTATCCTATGCATAAAGTTAGTCAAATAAAAGGATCATGGCAGATAGTCATGGGATAGAATAAAATGTTTGGGACACAGAGCTCATGTCATCTGGGCTCTATCATATTACCAGTCCTCAAGACAAAGATTTTAGGACTCCACATTAAGACAGATTTTATACTTCCATAGGTACTCAGTGTTACTCAATACCATTCATTTCAATCAGCAGCTGAACTGAGCAATACCCCAAAGGTAAGCAAAATTGTGAAGAACTAAGTCTATGAAATAAAAAGTAAATATATCACCAATCACACTGTATTAATATTATAGTAAATTGATTCATTCAGAATCTAATCTGAACACTCTTGTGACATTGTCCATCAATCACTGGCTAAGGCTGAGGATGAATTAAAGATTTTACTATGCCCTAGGCATACTTTTACTCGATTTAATACCACTGTTAAGTGAACCATCCGGTTTGCTTTTAATCACTTACAGTCAGATAAAAACTCTCTAGCCTTTTTCTTTCTTCTGCCTCTCCCAAATGTTCCAGCCCAAGCCATTCAAATACATTTGCCTGGACGTGGGGAAGGTTTCATTCCTCCTGAAGGAACAGGCATTTAAAGAGCACACAGGGCTGTAGCATTAGCTGCTTCTACTGGACATTCTTCTTGTTGTCATATACTTAATTACTTTAAAATGAGACCTGGTTGTTTTTCGGTTTGGGGTTTTTTTTCAAATTAACCACAATCTGGAGTAGCCTTGTTTCCTGTAGAATCTCTGGAGCACCCTCCAAAATCTCCAAAGGTGGTGGCAACGGCGTGTCTTCAGCACGACAACGAGGAAAAGGCAAGTGATATCTATGCTCAAAGTATTTGTACACAAAAATTTTTTTTAAATTTATTTCTGGAGTGAATATATCAACAGCATGTGTGTTCATCACGACTAGATAGCATTGCTTTATTTTAAATTAACATTCCAGAAAAATTTTACTGGGGTTTTAAAAATTAAGTTGGACCCATTCTACACACTCAGGAATTACTTCAGCAGAGAATTCATATAGGAAGAATTTAAGGGGATGTTTCATGTGCTTTTGCAATAAGACTATAAATTGATGGTGTGGGGGAGAGCATCTGCCCGGGTGGGTGATGGCAGGGCCTGTCCCATGGCCTGCCCACTGCCGCAGACAGGAGCAGGGCACCCCCGAGTGACTGGGGCAGCCCCAGTCCTGGGTATCAGGTGCCTCCTGGGAATGGTAATGGCTGGGCAGGGCTGTTGGGAGCTGGAGACCTGCCCTGTTGTTGTGTTTCTTTCTGGGGCAGGGGCTGCTGACCCCACGGGGCTGACATGGGGTCCTGGGCTGTGGGCAGATGGACAGGTACAGTCAGGGCCAGTGGTGCCCTCAGGGCCCTTTTCTAACCATGGTAAATTCAACTTGAGATGAAACTGTATGAAACAGGAGTGCAAACTGTATGATAAAAGTGAGATCCCATATGTTTTAATAGCTTAAGACTAACCATAAATTTTTTTCATGTTTAAATGAAATACACTAGAGAGAAGTGGCTTTCTAGCATGGATATTTGTAACAAGGTTGTACTGAAAATGTACTTTTGCA